ACCCCCGGGCTGGGCTAGGGGATCAGTCACCCCCAGGCTGGGCTGGGGGTCAGATACCCCTGGGCTGGGCTGGGGATCAGACACCTCTGAGCTGGACTAGGGGGAAGGCACTCCAAGCTGGGCTCTGTCAGAAGGACAGAGCAGCCTCTGTGCCACAGGGAAACAGGTGATAGTGTCCTGAGTTGGGGCTTGTTGGTTTGGTTGTCCAGGACAAGCTCCACAGGGACCTCCTAGGGGCTAAGGCAGGAGGGGGTGAGTGCTCTGATCCAGAGCCAGGTGGGAGAAAACCTTGAGCAACCTGCTCTGGTGGGAGGTGTCCCTGCCCAGGGCAGGGGCTTGGGGCTGCATGATCTCTAAGGTTCGTTTCAACCCCTTAACACACTATGACACTATGAAGGGCTGAGAGCTGGGAGTGTCCCACAGGGACCTCCTAGGGGCTAAGGCAGGAGGGGGTGAGTGCTCTGATCCAGAGCCAGGTGGGAGAAAACCTTGAGCAACCTGCTCTGGTGGGAGGTGTCCCTGCCCAGGGCAGGGGCTTGGGGCTGCATGATCTCTAAGGTTCGTTTCAACCCCTTAACACACTATGACACTATGAAGGGCTGAGAGCTGGGAGTGTCCAGTCTGGGGAAGCTCCGCTCCAGGGAGACCTCAGGGCCCCTTCCAGTGCCTAAAGGGGCTACAGGAGAGCTGCAGAGGCACTTGGGAAAAGGGATGGAGGGACAGGACACAGTGAATGGCTTCCCACTGCCAGAGAGCAGGGACAGATGGGATATTGGGAAGGAATTCCTCCATGTGAGTGTGCTGAGGCACTGGCACAGGTTGCCCAGAGCAGCTGTGTCTGCTCCATCCCTGGGAGTGTTCCAGGTGAGGTTGGATAGGGCTTGTAGCAAGCTGGACAGAGAGAGCTGTCTCAGGTGGCTTTTCTCTGCTGGAGTTTGCCTGAATCAGGGTGTGGAGAGGTGAAATGAGAGCACCTGTTCCTGGGCCAGTGCTGACCTTTGATTTGCACAGCTTGTTTTCCCTGCCTGTGTGTTGCTGGTGGCTGTCAGTTCTCTTCCCCTCTCTGCTGCACACATAGACTTCACAACCAGCTTTTCTTCTTGTTTCTCCTGACTGTCTCTTGTAGAAAGACACCAAACTCCTACTTTAGTCTCCTTTCTCCACTGCTTCTCTAGCTCCTGTGGAGAGTTCTGGGTTTGGTCACCTGCCTTCAGGGGAGATGGAACGCTGTGAAGGTCCTTGTTTGTGCTGGAAATGCTGTTCCTGACCCTGCTCTCTTTTCACAGCTGACTTGTCCTGTCTCTGACCAGCTAAACCTCTCTAGCTCCTACTTGTTTCTTGCTTGTCTTGGTAGTTGAATAGACAATGAGCTTTAACCTCCACTGGGTTAAATCTGGAGAAGGAAAAGCCATAGCAAAGCTGAAAGGAGGAACAGATTGAAAAAAACTCCCCTAACTGCTTTTAGGTGGTTGTTCAGCATCACCAAGGAGACAAAGCTGCTCCAAACCAGTTTATCTTAAGACTTCTCAGTGTTTGCATAGTTTTTAGTGGTATCAGTGGATAACCTGAGTGGTGTCACTGCTCTCCTGGGAGGTGTGAGGGACTGGCTGTGCCTCAGCCTGTAACACAAGGCACTGCTGTGGTGTAAGTTTCTGCTGCTGCTGCTGAAATTTTGGGTGGTGACTGCAGGGTGTTTGCTTCAGCAAGCAGCAAGGAAGGGAATGTGCAGCTTGGCACTTTGGAGCTGGGCTGGGAACACTTGTTTCTTGTCTTTCCCTCAGCAACTCTCCGAATCACTTTCTTTGTTAAGGGAGTAATCCTATAAAATTCATAGCATGTTAAGGGGTTGGAATGGACCTTAGAGATCATCTAGTCCCAACCCCCTGCCCTGGGCAGGGACACCTCCCACCAGAGCAGGTTGCTCAAGGCTTTATCCCGCCTGGTATGAAACACTGCCAGGGTTGGCCAGAGGAGTTATCCCGCCTGGTATGAAACACTGCCAGGGTTGGGGCAGCCAGAGGAGTTGGAGCAAGGCCAGAGGAGGCCACGAAGCTGATCAGAGCACTGGAACACCTTTCCTATGAGGACAGGTTGAGGGAGTTGGGGCTGCTCAGCCTGGAGAAGAGAAGGTTGTGTGGAGACCTCAGAGCAACCTGCCGGGAGCTGAAGGGGCTCCAGGGAAGCTGCAGAGGACTTTTGGTTAGGAACTGCAGGGACAGGGCAAGGAGGAATGGGGCGAAACTGGAAGAGAGAAATTTAGATTATATATCAGGAAGAAGTTGGACAACCTGTGCCAGTGTCCTCTTGGCTTGCTGATGGCAACTGAAATGCTCCTTTGCCAAAGTTTCTAGGTGCTTCTCTATCTTCAAACCTCCTTTGTGTTCTCAAGTATGTCTCAACCCTTTGTGTTGCAGGATCTTATGGTTCTCCCTGCCAGCTGCTACCTGCCAAATCACACTTCCTAGGCCTCCCAATCCATGAGTGGGCACCGGAGCGTGAGGAGACGATGTGGGGAGTCCCACCTGGAGGCCCCCACGGGCTGTGGCCACGGTCCTGCTGCTGCTGGCTGTGTGCTGAGCAAACTGGTGCAGCTGCCCACACCTCCCCTGTCCAAGCACCAGCTGAAACGGTTAGAGGAGCACAAGTACCAGAGTGCAGGACGGTCCCTGCTTGAGCCCCTCATGCAGGGCTACTGGGAATGGTTAGTTGGAAGAGTTCCAGCCTGGATTGCCCCAAATCTGATCACCATCATTGGACTGTTAATAAATATATTCACAACTCTGCTATTAGTATATTACTGCCCAACAGCTACAGAGCAGGTGAGTTCTGCACCTCTCATACTCTCTGTTGTGGTTGCTGTCACCTGGTAGCAGTTGGCCTTGGTTTTGGGTGGGTTCTTGCTCTGTGCACAGCTGGTTCTTGCTGCCCAGCCTGAGCTGTTGTACATTTAACCTGTTCTCTCGACATCTTTCTGCCTCTCTGGGCTGCTTTGCATGCAAAAGGAGCAGGTGTGGGTATGGGGTGAGCACAGAGTGAGGCAGCAGATCCTCTGGCCAACACTCACTGTGTGCAGTGAGCTCTGACACCACAAGAGCTGCTCAGTTCCAGCTGCACAAAGCTCAGCCCCACAAGGCTCCAGTGTAAGAAATGGCTTTGCAGCTGCCTCGTGCTCATGGCAGGCAGAGATTGTGCCTGTTTACTTTCCCTGCCTGTGACAGGGTTAGTCACCCTCAGCTCTGGGAGCTGGAGTTGCCACACAACAGGATGTGTGAGGTGCTGAGGCTGCTCTGAGCCCAGCTGGGGTTGCAACAGTGAGGAGCTCGAGCTCAGGCAAAGGGCTGAGCTCAGAGTGGTGGAGCTGGAGACATCAGGGCCTGCTGCTTCCTCTGTGGCTGCTGTGATCAAACCCAGCATAGAACGCTTCCCTTCCCTCATCCCCCCTGGGCCCTGCTGCTGTGACCAAACCCCAGCTCAGAATACCTTCCCTCATCCTCCATGGGCCCTGCTGGTGTGCCCAAACTCAGTTTTGAACACCTTCCCTCACCCTCCTTGAGCCCTGCTGTGTGACCAAACCCAGCATGGAACACCTTCCCTCATCTCCACTGGGCCATGATGGTGTGACCAAACCCAGCTTAGAATTTACCTCCCTGCTGCTGTGACCAAACCCCAGCTCAGAATACCTTCCCTCATCCTCCATGGGCCCTGCTGGTGTGCCCAAACTCAGTTTTGAACACCTTCCCTCACCCTCCTTGAGCCCTGCTGTGTGACCAAACCCAGCATGGAACACCTTCCCTCATCTCCACTGGGCCATGATGGTGTGACCAAACCCAGCTTAGAATTTACCTCATCCCCCCTGGGCCCTGATGGTATGACCAAACCCCAGCTTAGAATACCTTCCCTCATCCCCCCTGGGCCCTGCTGGTGTAACCAAACCCAGCTTAGAGGCACAGGAACACCTTCCCTCAGCTTCCTGGGCCCTGGCAGATTCTGTGTCATGTCAGCTCTACTCAGACCCTTTGGCACAATGTGAGAACAGAGAGTTGTCTCCCTGAGCCCTGTCCATGCTGTGAGAAGGTGGATAAAAGTCAGGAGTTTGATCCTTTGTTCTGAGTGCACTCAAAGCTCTGACCTGTCCTCAGGAGAACTGTCTCAACCTGCTTTCAGGGGCACAAAAGTCTTTAAGAGGCATCTCAAGTTTCAAAGACTTCTCTCCCTCGCTAGTTACCTCATAAGGTACTTAAAGACTTCGATTTTTGTGTACTGGAATAAGTTGTTTTCACTTGAATGTTGAATCTGAAGAGCTGTTTAGATATGTGAGTACTGAGAAAGTGAATTATGTGGTGCAGAAATGTGTTACACACCAACCAGCTGGGGAATGCCTCAGGAATTCCAGCTTGGAGGGTGCCTGAACTTCCTAGCCAAGGTTGGGAATCAGCAGCTTACAGTGTGTTCCCAACCAGACTCCAATCCACCACGTAGGCTGCACAGTAAACATGTGTATGACATAGGAAAGGGATGTTTGTCTCCTCTAGAAATCTGTTGAAATAGATAATTTCTCAATACCCTGTGGAATTTGGCAGGTACAGGATAAACAGGGAATGTGAGGTTTGAGCAGTGAATGCTTGGAGCAGCTTTTTCCAGAGTGGGATTGTGGTGTGGCTTGGGGCTAACTTGCTGTTTACTCCTGTAGCAGAGTTACCTGGGGGCTGAGACTCTGAAATCCAGTTTGATAGAGACTTCAACCTATCTTATCATCTTAGGAGCTACTCTAGGCCACTGAGCCAGAGCAGGATTTAACATTTGGAGAACATTTGGGTTGGCAGTTAAATTTCTGAAGTGGCCACTGAGCTGCACTCAGAGCAGAAGGTCAGTGGTAGCTGCAGTTTGCTGTGCTGAAGCACTGCTTGGTGTGTGACACTTACTTGGGGTGAGCTGAAGGAGATTTTCTTCTCACTTGAACTGAGAAACAACTTTGTGCTGAGGCAGCTCTGGCCTGATCTGCTCTGCCATATGGCACAGCAGCCCTGCCTAGAGGATGCCATCTCCATGCTGAAGCTGAGAGCTTTTGCTTTTGAAGTGTCTGGGCAAGAAAATGAGGCTTGGAAATTCCAGAAACTGATTTTTTTTCCCCTCCTCAAATGCTTTCAGATGTTAATTTTCTCTTCCTTGTAGCTCAGCCTTAGTTCTGCTTTTTTTCAAGAGCTTCCTGTTGATGAAAGGTGTAGCCCAGAGAGGAAAAGAGGTGCAAATACTTCCTGCTTAGCTGGGAGGGCTCTTACTGGCAAAGTGCTGAGGGATGAAATGGTACCTGGAGTGGGTTTTTTTAAACAAAATGGAAAAAAGATTTGGCTAAGAGAGAGAGCTGTGAAATCTTACACATAAAAGTAACATGTGAGTGGAAACAGCACCACTGCTAATAAAAGGAGCTTCTAAGGCAGAAAAGCCAACAGACTGATTTGGAAGTTTATAGAGACAAATTGCATCACCCTGAAGGTAACTTAAAGGTGGCATATGAAATCTGAGATTTTAGATGAGACATAGAAATGGTGTCATGGAGTGCAATTGTGTGGTGTCAAACCAGTGTCTGAATATCAGAGGATCAGAGTGTGTTAAGGGGTTGGAATGGACCTGAGAGATGATCCGGTCCCAACCCCCTGCCCTGGGCAGGGACACCTCCCACCACAGCAGGTTGCTCAAGGTTTTAGCCAACCTGACTTTGAACACTGCCAGGGTTGGGGCAGCCACAACCTCCCTGGGCAGCATGTGCCAGTGCCTCACCACCCTCACAGCAAAACCTTCTGCCTAATATCTAATCTCAATTTCCCTATTTCAATTTCTCCCCATTCCTCCTTGTCCTGTCACTGCAGTTCCTAACCAAAAGTCCTCTGCAGCTTCCCTGGAGCCCCTTCAGCTCCTGGCAGGTTGCTCTGAGGTCTCCACACAACCTTCTCTTCTCCAGGCTGAACAGCCCCAACTCTCTCAGCCTGTCCTGGTAGGGAAGGTGCTCCTGTCCTCCCATCAGCTCCGTGGCCTCCTCTGCACTTGCTCCAACAGCTCCATGTCCTCCTGCTGTTGGGGACACAGAGCTGTATCTTCAATTTCGATTATGAAGGGTTGGAATACCCATTCCCCCTTGTCCTGTCACTCCAGTTCCTACCAAGGAGCTGCTCCTCTGCCATTTGGTAAGACATTCCCCCCTGTGCTGTGTGTGCAGTGCTGACAGCAGAGTGTGGTACCAGCATTTGAGGCAGAATGAACTGTTTTGGTCCAATGCAGCAGCAGTTCAAGCTGTAGAAGGAAATGTATGTCAGCTGATGTGCAGCACCTGAGTCATGGTTGTGTTGCCCAAGCCAAGCAGGACTCAGGGTTTATGAGGGGCAGGACAGCTTCATTAAGCTGCTTGGCTGCATTTGGGCTTTGTTGAGATGGCCTGTAAAACAGAGCTGCTCATAAGTGCTCACTGCCAAGTGTGGAGATTGCAAAATAGCCATTAATATCTGATTTAGAGCTGTGGAAACTGAGACAGAGCAGTGACAACTCTTTGGCTCTTATGGGCTTATTGCTTTATGCTTCAAACCCTGAGAAGAGCTTGAATTGAAGTCTTTGCTCTAGCAAAGAGCTTTGGGATTGCTTTTGTTGCTGTCAAGTAAAAGTTGCTACCCAGGATGGGACTATTAAGGATTATTAACACAGGTTTGCCAAAGGAGTTGCCCTGGAGCTGGGGGAGCAGTTGGTGGAGGTGCTGTGCTGCAGAGCTCTGGAAATGGACCTGAGCTCTCCAAGGTTGGGCCCTTGGCAGTGATACAGCTCTCGGATGTCACTGCAGCCTGGCACTGGCACTGGGGAGTGCTGAAGCTCTGTGGAGATGAGCTCAGTGCTTGACACAGTTGAAGGTTTTTGAGTTTATAAAGCCCTGGGAAAACACACATCTCTGACAAGGATTTAGTTGCCAGCCACTTTGCAAGTGTAGTGCTATAACTTCTCCAGCTGTAGAGTGCAGCTTCTGCTTTAGGCCATGGGCTGAACCTGTTCAGCTGAGCTGTAATCCTGTCACTGGTGTATTTACATTCCACATGGCACAACCCACTCTGCTGTCCTGGCAAGGAGCAGCTGCTGGAAGGTCCCTGGGTGACAAGGAGGTGTGTGCAGAGGGAGAACTGCTGTGTCAGGGTATCATAGTGTGTTAAATAGACCTTTGAGATCATCCAGCCCCAACCCCCTGCCCTGGGCAGGGACACCTCCCACCACAGCAGGTTGCTCAAGGTTTTATCTGACCTGGCTTTGAACACTGCCAGGGTTGGGGCAGCCACAGCCTCCCTGGGCAACCTGTGTCAGTGTCTCTCCACCCTCACAGGAGCAAGTTCTTCCTAATACCTAATTTAAGTTTCCCTCTTTCAATTTCTCCCCATTGCTCCTTGTCCTGTCCCTGCAGCTCCTAACCATGAGTCCTCTGCAGCTTCCCTGGAGCCCCTTCAGCTCCTGGCAGGTTGCTCTGAGGTCTCCACACAACCTTCTCTTCTCCAGGCTGCACAGCCCCAACATTCTCACAGGGACAGTGCTGTACTGTCATACCAACTTCATGGCTTCTGCACTTACTCCAAGAGCTCCACATTCTGCAGCTGTTGGGGACACCAGAGCTGTGTGCAGCACTCCAGGGGGTGGCAGAGGTCACCTGTAGGCTTTTATTGTTTGAACTTTAAAACAATTCCTTTATTCTCATTGCCTTTTTCTCCTAGGCACCTCCCTGGGCATACATTGCTTGTGCTTGTGGCCTTTTCATCTACCAGTCCCTGGATGCTATAGATGGAAAACAAGCAAGGAGGACAAACAGCAGCACTCCCTTAGGAGAGCTCTTTGATCATGGCTGTGATTCTCTGTCCACAGGTATTGTTGTCATTTTTAATTGAAGCATTAGGATTAAATAGCTCTGTTTCAGGGATCAGATCTGGAATACAGAGAGCTGCTTTTTTTCCTGAAGAAAGAACAACTGATAGAGCTGCATGTATCACTTTCCAGCTCAGAAAGTCACCTTTCTTTGCACAGACAGTGTTCTTGGTCAGCTGAATGTCTTCTCTTGGGTTACACTGAAAACAGAGTGAAGCATGTGACAATTCAGCCTGAGCCAGCACTTTGCTGTGGTGCTTTAGCAGAGTCTTGGCTCGAAAACATCTCTGTCAGAAGCTGTCAGAGTGCTCTACTCTATTATCTTAGATTGACTTGCTGCAGAGTGATATCCAGACAGGCTGAAGCCTAAGCAGTGGGACACAAGGCTGAGTTTAAGCTTAGAATCATCCAGATCAGTTCCTGAGTTCATTGAGCCAACCTGGAGCTTAACTCCATTGCAAGAAGTTCTTAGAATCATGGAATATCCTGATTGGAAGAGACCCACAAGGACCATTGAGTCTAATTCTGCTCAGGTGCTTTGGGTTACTTCAATTCCAAAGCTCTTATCACAGTTGTATGTTGAAAGGGTGGAGGGAGATGCACAAATACTTATGAATCCTGACTGACAGACCTTGGATATTCTTAGTCGCATCATAAAACCTTAGAAAATGGGGAAAAATGTCCAGCAAAGTTTGGATACAGCAAATTTTAGATACAGGAGCAAACCCCAAACTTGCTGCAGTTGCATAGATCACTCAAGTCTCCTAATGGGATTATACAAGAGGAACAAAAATCATATAAATATGTAAAATCAATTATTAAAATCATTTTCTAGAAATAACAAACAAGTGAATTCAAAATGTGAGAGACTGAAAACCCCTCAGTATTGAGGACCTGTAACCATTGATATGGACTAAGAAACTCTGAATATTGAGGACTTGTAGTCACTGATCAGGACTAGGAAACCCTCAGTATTGAGGACTTGTAATCACTGATCTGGACTAAGAAACCCTCGGTATTGAGGACTTGTAATCACTGCTATGGAGCTATGGATTTAAATACACATTTAAATGAAATTTGACTATAAAAATGAAGTGTTAACCTCCACCTGTGCAATAACTCCCACCAGGACACCTCCCACTGCCTCTCCCTCCCTCCTTAGCTTTGTTTCTACTGAGGCTCTTTCCATCCAATCCCCTTTCCTTTTTTTCACTCTGTGCCTGATTTTCTCCTGCAGTCTTTGTGGTTTTGGGCACTTGTGTTGCTGTGCAGCTTGGAACCAACCCTGACTGGATGTTCTTTTGTTGTTTTGCTGGGACATTCATGTTCTACTGTGCCCACTGGCAGACCTACGTCTCGGGGACGTTGCGCTTCGGCATGTGAGTACCTGAGCTGGGACCAAACTGGAACTGCTTTTCCTGTGCCATTGTACATGGTGTGATGATAGTTCAGCTCCTGAGAGCACTAGCAAATTGTTTATGTCCATCTAGACACACTTGTGGCAGCTGTTGGGTCTGTAATAAATGCTGAGTGTTGTGTGGCTTGTATTAGGAGGGGGAAAATAGCCTCTTGTCCTGTTGGGTAATTAAGAGCTTTTGGTGTGATTTAAAGCTGAATAAATCATGGAAGTAGCTGCTGTTTGATGCCAGGTTGGAATGCTGGTGTCAGATGGTGGCAGTCTGGCTTCAGCAGTCACTTCACTTAGCCTTCAGTTCACTTATGGCTTGACTTGTGGGGTGGCATTAATTGTTCCTGTCAACCACAACTCTTAAAATACAGTGTATTAATTGCCATTGTGCCTCCAATTTACAGTTTTGAATCCCTGTGGGGCAGTGTAGACCTTGGTTCTGTCAGTAATGAGCCAAAATGGCAATGCCACCACAGCCAAGAGCTGGAGTGCTGTTCCTGCTGGGTGAGGGTGTGTGGGAGGTGGAGCACAAGGACCTGTGAGCTGAGGATTCTCTACCTGAATGGGGAAACAAATGTACATTTATTCTGTGTTATAGACCTAACAAATATGTTTGAAATGATTACACTGCAGAGTGACTTTTTGCACCTGGAAACTGAAATTTGCCCTCAGTTTGGAGCATTTTGGAACAATTTGACACCAACTGCATCCAATATCATGGGCTATTTATTATTTATAGTCTGTCATTATTGATCTGTAGGTACCCAGATGCTGCTAAAACAGTACAAGATGGGCCTGTTGTCTCCAACAGCTTTTCTTGGCATGATAATGCAGATTCTCTTGAGAAACTGCTTTGTTTCTGCTCAAAAATTTAAGACATCGGAGCAGTTTTCAATGTCTGCTGGAGGAAGGAAAGCAAAACCTCAACTTCTGTTCTAATTCTGACTACACCAAAGCAAAGTGACTGAAACTATCCTATTCTGCTCCTTAAATCTTTAAAACAAGACACCTGGCTCAAATTTTTTGCTGTTTTAAGCATCTCACTTTGATGCTGTACCAAAGGTCAGAATATTTTCAGCTCCCTTGGAGCTTTGCAGGGCTCTGATAGTCAAAGTTTCTGCTCAAAGAACACAAATCCCCACCTTTGGCATGTGCTTGACTTTACAGATGCAGACCTCAAAGCCCCCAGTTTGCTGTTGTGCTGCAGAGAAGTGTGTGGTGCAGTGCTGGGGCTCACTGTGAGGAGGCTGTTTTGGAGGCAACATTTTGTGGCAGATCAGGTTGTTCTGTGGCCTTATAACATCAAATGTGATGCTCCATCAGCATGTAGCTAATTTAGAGAAGGCACTAAGCCCCCACAAGTGGGTATCATTATTTTAGCTAACAGATCTGGGTAGTAAACACATTTTTCCTTCATTTTCCTGTGCCACAAGGTTAATAGAGTGCCGTGAGCTGATGTTCATCTTCATGGCAAGACTGAGGTGATTTATCAGAGAGCTGATAAATCAGTTAACTGATTCTTGCTGTTTAATGCTATTTTGTTTTGCAGCTTTCATTTCCCTAATCTAAAACTGAATTAAAAAGGTATTTATCAACCCTCTGTGACTGACTGGAGTGCACAGCCCTAGGTGTTTTGCTGCAGAGTAAGTGGAGTCAGAATCAGCTGTTGAAAGAGGCCAAAAAGCTCTTCATGCACAGGAGCTTCTTCCTGTCTGAGCATCCTACATAGTAACTCTGTCAGAAATGCTCTGCGTGGGTGTAGTAGTGATGTTGTAGGGAATTGACAGCATTCCTGACTTGCCTTCATCCCAGAGCAGCAGCACAGATCACACAGCTACCACTGATTGTATTTCTGAGAGGAGATTTGGTCCAACAAATTGCATTTCAGTGCTGAGATCAACTCAGTGATCAAATTGGAAATGGCTCAGGGCAGAGCAACAGAGTAGAAAGGGAGAGATTAGGATTTCAGTCCTTACACACAGCTCAGGAAATGTGGAATGGGGAGTCAGCCTGGACTGCTGGGAAAGTGTGTCTTGAAAGGGAGAAACAAATTTGTGTCAGATTGAGCGTGAGCTTGTCTGACAGTGTCTGGGCATGTATGGGGAACGGGCTGGAGCAACAGGAGCAGCTGAGGGAGCTGTGGGGGCTCAGCCTGGAGAAAAGAAGGCTCAGGCGAATTTGCTCTCTCCAGCTCCCTGCCAGGAGGTGCAGCCAGGTGGGGTCAGGCTCTGCTCCCAGGGAACAAAGGACAGGATGAGAGGGAGCACCTCAAGTTGCACCAAATGAGGTTCAGGTTTGGTATTGGGAGTGTTTCTTCCCTGACAGAGTGGTCAGGCCTAGGCATAGCTGCCCAGGGCAGTGTGGAGTCACCGTCCTTGGAGGTGTTCAAAAACATGTGGATGTGGCACTTGGGGATATGGTTTTAGTGGTGAGCATAGAATAATAGAATCATCAAGGTTGGAGGAGACCTCTAAGATCATCAAATCCAACCATTAACCTGTCACTGCTGGAACCCCTGAACCTTAAACCATATCCTCCAGCATCAGGTCCAGACACCTCTTAAGCACCTCCAGGGATGGTGACTCCACCATCTCCCTGGGCAATCCAATCCAGTGCCTGACCTGGCGGTGATGGTGGTATTGATGGTGGTGGTGATGTGTTGATGGTTGGACTTGGTGATCTTAGAGGGCTTTTCCAACCATAACAATTCCATGGCTCTGTCTGCTGTTGCTGTACTAGCCCTGGCAACTCACTGAATCAGTGCAGAGTGTGTCAGATTCTCCGCAGTGTTCACCCTGAGGAGGAGGAAATGGGATCACTTCTGTGAGATTTCACGGAATCACAGAATATTCAGGGCAGGAAGGGACCCACAGAGATCATCAGTCTAACTCCTGCCCAGGACACCCCAACAATCCACTCTGTGCCTGAGAGCATTGGCCAAACTCCTGGAGCTCTGTCAGCCTTGGGGCTGTGACCACTGTTCTGGGGAGCTGTTCCAGTGCCCTGTACCTTCTACAGAGTATTGCAGCTGGGGGAGGAAAACTTTGTTTAGCTGTGCCCAATTACTAAATCATCAACTGAGGGAAGACCTCATGGTTATACACAACTTTGTGAGGGGAAGAGGGGCCCAGCACTGGTCTCTGCTCTCTGGTAGCCAGACAGGACACAGGGAATGGCTGGAACTGTGTCAAGGGAGGGTTAGACTGGATATGAGGAAAAGGTTGTTCCCCCAGAGGTGTTTGGGCACTGAAACAGCTCCCCAGGGCAGTGGTCACTGACAGAGCTCCAGGAGCATCTGGATGATGCCTAATCAACTTCCCCTTGAGCACTGGGAGCAGTTTTGGGCACCCCAAGATAAGAAAGATCTAAAGCTATTAGAGAATGTCCAAAAGAGGCTACAGAGATGGTGGAGGGTCATGAGGGGCCACATGAGGAGTGGCTGAGGTCACCTAGTCTGTTCAGCTGGAGGAGACTGAAGTCAAACCTCTTCAGGGTCTGCAGCTCCTCCCGAGGGGCAGTGCAGGGGCAGCACCAATCTCTGCTCTCTGGGGCCACCAGTGACAGGACACAGGGAATGGCTGGAGCTGTGTCAGGGGGGGTGTTAGGTGAATATGAGGAAAAGGTTGTTTCCCCAGAGGTGTTTGAGCACTGAACAGCTCCCCAGGGCAGTGGTCACAGCCTCAAGGCTGACAGAGGTCCCGGAGTGTTTGGCCAACGCTCTCAGTCACAGGTTGGGTTGTTGGGGTGTCCTGTGCAGGAGTTGGACTGATGATCTCTGGGTCCCTTCCAGCTCTGAATACTTTGTGATTCTGTAGCTGTGCTGTTCCCCTGCCAGCTGTGGGACTGCCCTGTGCTGCTCCAGGATGTAGAATTATCAATGTCGGTTGAGTTGATAAGGTCCTGTGATATGTTCTCATCTTTAAATGATCACGTAATGTTATTAGATCCTGGCAGCTGACTCAGCCTCTTCGGCTGCTTCTTGAACAGCTCAGTCACATAGCTAGAGGTCAGTATTGCTTCAAAATTCCCTGTGAGGAGTACCAAGTGTCTCAAAGCAAGTGAGGCAAGTACAGGGGAGTCGCTACAGGGACATCAGCAGTGCAGAGGCAGCAGGGAACAGCCAGGATGGACTTTGGTGAGACACTGGCACAGGTTGCCCAGGATGGCTGTGGCTGCCCCAACCCTGGCAGTGTTCAGAACCAGGTTGGCTAAAGCCTTGAGCAACCTGCTGTGGTGGGAGGTGTCCCTGCCCAGGGCAGGGGGTTGGGGCTGGATGATCTCTAAGGTCCATTCCAACCCCTAAAATTCTATGATTCTATGAGTTACATGTGCAAGTTGTATTTTAAAACCCATCACCTGATCTGGGGATGGGCTCAGGAAAGAGCAGGGATACACAGCACAGCTGAAGAAAAGGAAAGGTAATGAGGAAGGCATTCATTATTGAAGCAGCCCAAGTAATCACTTTGTTCTACTGGGCTGGTTTCCAGGACTAACTGGTTTATCAGGGCTGAGAACTCACTGTGCTGACACACAGTGAGCTTTGTGTAAGGCTTAGCCCTGGATTGGGGCAGCTGTGCCATCACTGGGGCATCTCTGGGGTGGAAACAGGGAATTTCCTCCTGCATGTCCCAAAAATCCAGCTGGCAAGCCCTGATGGACTTCCATGTGTCCATGTGAAGCAGATCTGATGCTTCAGGAACGCACTGCAGTAACCAGAGCATTAGGGAATGTGGTACACAAACCCCGAAGGGAATTTGTGTGCTGTTAGCTGGAGCTCAGGTGTGGTCAACTCTGGTTCTTCCAGATCTAAGCTTATTCTGCTTGGATTCAGTACTGCCCCTGCTCACTGCTGGGGCTTCAGGAAGTGCACGAGGAGGTGGCAGTATCAGTGCAGGCTCAGGGATGTCTCCAGCCTCACAAGGGCAGAGCACAGACAGCCTGACTGCAGGGGCTCTCTGAGATCCAGGAGGGTTTG